TTCCAGTAATCCCGCCCACCTGTTGACGGCCCCACCCAGTCATGAAGGACGTTGCGTGCACACCTATTCGGGACTGTGTCTGCTCTTTCACTTATCTTACTCATCTCTCATTCATTGTCTCTGATATCTCCCACGTGCCCAGATGTCTATCTCCCTTCTTTTTCTTCGCGTAATCGATCATCTACTGCTGAAGAGCATCGGCAGAAAGAGGGCTTTATTGAGAGCACGTTCGTCTGCTTCTCCTGCTTTTTTCACCCCTTGATTACGCAATATTTTGAATTTCATGTTTGAACCCCACTAATCGCGAGTTGTGTCACTGAGCGTGGCTTCTTTCGATTTTATATTGATGTCGAGTGAATTCGATCCGTTCAATCGATTAGCTGTTTAATTCTTAACAAATTGATTGCAGTTAGTATGTTGTGATGCTTCCGATCACTGCCTTCCTCGTCATTGTGCGAACCGGATGCGCTTTTCTATTCAATTCACAAACGGACATTGCTCATTGCTACGAGTTGGACCTCGAAAATTGCTTCCGCGAAGCTTTTTTGGTCAGTTTACTCTCACCACAAGGGATAAATAGACTTCAAGCTTTGCCCCCATGGAACTCTTCTTAGAATCTGGTATTTGAGAAATCTGGGCTCTCACAAGTTTGGAAGGGAGGGACCTGGGCACTCCATCGCGTTGTGATCATTTCCTGAAAAATACGACCCCCCCCCTCCAAATTCCATCCTCAAATACGACCCACCCTTCCTACCACTTTCTCAGATTTTCCCAACTTCCTACAACTTTTTCCTTTTTCCATTTTTTCCCGAAAAATTTCCAGTTTCAAGAATTTTCCGTCGAGCGGGCAGGGAGAGGGGGGGGAGGGTCGTCAGGATTTATCTACCATTTTCAGCTGTCGATAGTAGTTCTTAGTGCTTGAGCGCAGTTCCCTCTTCCCAACAACGACCAAATACGACCCCTCCCCCTTTATGGCGTCCGTGAATCAAGAGAAAGCAACTACCAAAAAAAATTTCTCAGACCAAATACGACCCCTCCCTCCCTCGCGGTCAAATACACCCCCCGCAGTGTCCCCCTCCTCCCGTAGTGAATTCATAACAACGATGTCGTTATCCTGGGCAGGGACACACACACACCTGTAGGCTTTTGTCAGCATACCCAATCCTGTAAATTTATACATGTGAAACCTAGTGAACACCCGTAAGACTTCCTATTACTGTCAAGCACCCTGTAACCCCTTGTCGAACTTTAATGACTGGTAAAGATTAAAAGGAAAGAAGATTTGAAAAGGCGTTGCGGTGGTAGTCTGGGTATGCCTTTCGCAGCTTGACAGGTGCCCATCACAGGGTACTTGACAGGAATCCACGGGAATTGCAGGGTGAGACACGTTGTTCACAGGAATGCGGTTGACACGACAAAGCTTGTATGCTGCCAATGACATGACTAAAGCTGACATTACTGCCCCAGGTCTATCAAGGGGTTCCTCCAGGTCACTTCGCGGGCAATCTGATCTATCTCGGACATCATTAGGATTTATATCTTGTTTCAGGAGCATGCACCTCTCCTAATTCCGAGACGATCGCAGCAGCTTCACCATTCCCTTCGGCAACATCGTATTCGACAATGCGCCGAAAACTGGTAAGCGTGCATCATAACCTGGTCGAATTGAAAAGCATCTTTTAACCATCCCGCTCCCAATTGAATCCAGTCAAACTGTTCTCGAAGCTGAATGTGGTTTGAAATGGTTCGTGGGAGGCTATTCAGACTACTGTCATGTCAGCCAGACCAGTTGGAGGGTGCAATCCAAGCTGAGCATTTTAGCGTGGCTCACTACTGTGCCTTTCTCGTGAATGTGTCTCTCTTTCTAAGCGCATAAAAAGATGAAAAGCAGGAGCGCGGTAATGAGGCACTGCACCTGAAGCTTGACTCCACCCATTACGATTACTGTCGCCAGTGCCTGGAAGCAAACCCGGGAGGAGTTGGGTTGGATTAGTTGTGTTGGGGGGGAGGGGGAGAAAATAGTGACTCGAGCCATCCTAGTGCCCTTTCTCCAGGTAGGATATATTCCGATAACCTGAGAAGACAGTAACAAGATTGGGAATAGAACTCATCAGCCAGAGAGCAAGACATGCCCTCAGAGGGCGAGTACAAAATGCATTCGTTGAAAAGTCATGTAAGGGGAGATTGTCTTCTCGTGACTGCTACATTCCTCGAAATACAATTCTTCTAGGTTTAGATATGAATCGCTACGGATGTCTAAAGGGGCACTATAGGTGGGATTCATGGAATGATTCCCTTAACAAGAAAGGGGAGCTACTCTTTGGAATCAAATCCTGAGGCTAGGGCTTGCCAAACAAGCGTCTCCGGAACTATTCATCTTGATTATTTTCACGCACGACAGGGTGTGTGACGCGACGCAGATTGGGAGACAGCCAGAGCGGCCTTTTTCTACCAATGATGCCATTGTGAGCCCGCTACATTCGGTGGGAAGTCTGATTTGGCTGCGCTCCGACTTATGCCCGCCACACGCCCTATCGTTTGCAGGGACATGACTGTATGAAGCTAGCTTTTCACTGAACCCTCAGATAGATGAGTAGCTACGAGGGTTGCTGAATACATTTCCCCTCCCTCTCCCAATTTTCTCCTCCACCTCCTTCCACCAGTTCCACCGTCCACTCAACTTACCATATTTGCCGAAATACTGAGCACCAAGGGGATGGGATCGTAAGACACCTCTCACATCACCGGAGGTAGTACTTTCGAGGCACCGCCAACTAGGGGGGGAAGGGAGAGAGTAGGCATGCAATTTACACTTAGTATATATAGCGCGCAATGACAGCATTTTTTTACCGATTTCTAGCAAATGCGAATTTTTGACCTTAGCCACTTGGGCAACCTTACGCCATAACACTCCTGTCTTCTGACGCGAGTGTGGTAAAAGATTAAAGGCAGTTGGCACGATAAATCCCTAAAGACGAGTAGGATTAATACGACTGGCATGGCAGAATTCCGTGACCCTGAACAGGCGCTGCGTAGCGCCTTTTCCAAGGAGGGTACCCTTATAGCGCCCTATTGAGCAGCAACATACCGACCCGGACGCCCACCTCGCCCGCCCGCCTACCATTGGACGTATAGCATCACAGCACGAGGACGTGCCGTTGTGGACCGCCCGTGCCTACGTGTATGAACCGCCCGTGCCTACGTGTAATGTAGTGTAACGTAGAGCGACGTAGAACGTACTGCTGGCTTTTTGCCAGCAGTAAACGGTTCAATCGGTAGACTCGTCCAAAGCAGCGCCCGCCCCAGCCGTTCGCTCGTCCACTGCCGCAGTGCAGCGAAG